ATTTCTCTATCAGCTTAGTGTGTTTGGCTTCCATTAGCTCTATCTCTTGCCTAAAGGAGGCATGTTGAGATGCTAGGGCTGATTCAATCAGCCCTTGGACCTTCTTTGTCCAGATTTCCGGTATCTCATCCGGAAGGGTAGGGGTTGAAGAGCTATGGAAATGAAAATTGGTTACCTGATGAGGAGATGATGTCCTTTGGAAGAGTTGCAAAGGAAGAGATTCAGCATCTTCTCGTACATCTTCTTCATCAGTGACCTTCAAGGTTCTTTCAGATTCACCTTCAGCTTCATCAAGTTCAAAATTTGATATATCCCTAGAGAGGGAGTCTCTTTCTTCATCAGCATTCTGTTCTTCAAAAATGGCTACTGGAGTTTGACAAACCTCCACTTCTGCCAATTGAGTTTCCCTTTCAGCTTCTCCAGAGTTCCTTTGCACTTCAACAGCTTGCTCTGACTGTTCTGGAATTGTTGCTGACTTCTCCGGAATCTCAGTTTCAGTAGGATTGGAGATCTCACAAGGAGTTGTGAGAGTCTCCAAAACTTGAGAACGGATTAGTTGCTGAAATTCTTCTTCTTCAGTTGCTTCCTGGTTCTACTCTTGTGGGGGAGAGGTTGCCTTCTCTTGAACAGTTTCAGTCAGAACCACTTCAAACGCAGGTGAGGTTTCCGGAAAGATAGGGAAATCCTCAGCTGTTGCTTCCAAACCAGCTATTTCTTCAGAGGTGAGAGCCATTTGATCTTCTGTGGCTTTTGAGAAGACTGGCTTGAAGACTGCAGTGTCTTCATCATCTGCTTCACAGTCTGAAGCTGGTGTGTTGGCCAGGTATTCCATATGCAGGTCTTCTGGGTTCTTTTGCCATACCCAGTAATCATTCAAAATATCTTCACAGTTCTGGTTGACTGGAATACATAAGCACTTCTTGATAATCTTCTCATTCTTCAGCTGTTGGTCCCAATCCAACAGTTGCTCTTCTGAATTTCCAACTTTCCAAGCTCTCCAATTATAGTAGAGCTGCCAGAATTTGTTGTCAGCATCATCTGTATGAGGCTGAGATGGGGGGGTTGGAAGGCTTGGGACTTGAGGAGTTTCTTCTTCAAACTGTTGAGGGCTCCGGTTTTGAACAGACGTTTCCTCAGCAGTTTCCTTCTCCTTCAACTCATCCGGATTGACATTTCCAGATGTTGATGGAGAGTTGATTTTCCTCTTCTTCTTCCTTTGAAGTTCTCCATGGTCAGAGACTTCTTGTTCTTCTTCCAAACATGCCAAGGCAAGGTTCTGTGGTGCTTCAATACTAATGGAGGGAGACACCACTTGCTTTCTTTTGGCAGTCTTTGCCATATGGATGAGCAGGACGTTATCTGATGAGCTTTCTTCTGCAGTGGCACTAATGCCAGCTCTGTTTTCTCCTTTGGAAGATAGGTAGTACAGCCAATATCTGGTTTCATACTTCTTCCCTTTAGAAGCAGCACCCATAGACTCCAAAATGTGTCCAACATACAGACCTTGGCAAAGATAATTCTGGTTGTGCTTTCCCAGATGTCTTGAAATTGATTTGAAGAAGTGTGCAGCCCAGTTTACCTTAGTTTTGGTAATGAGAGCGTTGATGATGAAGGCTCTCTCCTGGGTGATGTCATCGGCGTGACCTCCACTTCCACATTCGAGGCAGGCGATGACTAGTTCTAAAATCAACTTGTAATCGTTGTTTAGATCTGCTTTCTTCGCTGGGCCAGAAGGAACTTGCCCAGAAATTCCAATGACCTTCCAGTCCAGATTTTTGACTGGAAGTTTTCCAACTTCAACTCCAGAATTGGGGAGGTGAAGCTTTTCTCCCAATTTCTTCTGCGAAAGCTTCACTTTGATTCCTCCCACAATTGATTTGATGACTGGAAACGTCCTCTGTGGGTCCTTCTTTGATTTAGCAGTTTTGACTTCTCCATTCCTGTAGAATTCAAGAACTTCTTCCTCGAATTTGAGGCGAATTTCCATTTGAAGAAATTCGGAGAGTTCTTGAGCGGCTATCATCTCCATATAGCTTTGAAAGAATGTCGATGAAGAGCACTTGGCCTCTAACTTCTGGAAATGAACATTTGCTCCGACAACCTTCATTTTCTCTGAAATTTGGGTGAAAATTTGAGAGAGAAAGAGACCTAGGGTTCTTGCGAGTTCTTGAGAATTTTTCGCGAAGAAGACGATGAAAAATTTTGAGTGGGCGGTTGAGATCTGAATAGTGGCGATTGGGTTTTTAATTTGGGCGATTTTTGCGGCTAGTGGCGATTGGGTTTTTGACTATTCCCAAGGCCACGTGCCTACCCAATATATTGACAGACGTGGAAAGTGAACTGCCACGTGTACCGCACTTAGTCTAATTGAATTAGACCAATTTTGTGAAGCAAATCGGAAAACTTGGCTTCACTTAGTGGTTTTGTGAAGATATCCGCCAGTTGTTCTTCAGTTGAGATATACTCAATTTTGATATCTTTCTTTTCCACATGATCTCTGATGAAGTGATGCTTGACATCAATGTGCTTAGTGCGAGAATGATGCACTGGGTTTTGAGAGATGGCTATAGCACTTTGATTGTCACAAAAGATTGTCACTTCCTTTGTCTTGACTCCATAGTCCAGTAGTTGTTGCTTTAGCCACAAAATTTGAGCACAACAACTACCAGCAGCAATGTACTCTGCTTCTGCTGTTGATGTAGAAATGGAGTTTTGTTTCTTACTGAACCAAGAAACAAGATTTCCACCAATGAATTGACAAGTACCAGATGTACTTTTCCGGTCAACTTTGCATCCGGCAAAGTCAGAATCTGAGTATCCCACTAACTCAAATGAATTGCTTTTAGCATACCACAAACCCATGTTCTGAGTTCCTTTGAGGTATCTAAGAATTCTCTTAGCTGCTATCAAATGACTTTCCTTTGGCTTTGACTGGAATCTGGCACAAACACCTACTGCATATGAGATATCCGGACGGCTTGCAGTAAGGTAAAGTAGAGATCCGACAATTCCTCTATAGAT